CTGCTATTTGCCCCCACCATTGGCTATGTGACACCCGTGGCCTAGGCCGCGAGCATTTCGGTCGCTGCGGCCGAAAAAGTCGGCCGCGGCCGTGGCCTCTGAGGCCCAGTCTGCAGCCTTTTTTTTAAATATTTTTTTTACCCCTAAAAATACGTAAAATATATATAAATACAAGTTTACCTGATCGATCGTTTGGGGGGCCCCGGGCTGGCCCTCGAACGTTCGGGCGTTCGGGGTCCCGTTCGGGGGACAAACACCTCCAGAATCGGCCCCCGCCAAAAAACATTTCGGGGCCTAAGCGTACGTTTTTTTTTCTAAGTCTTTTTTTGTTTGTTCCTTTTGATGTAACCTACACGCCTGTAAATTTTGAAGCCATTCTGCTAAACCAAAAAAACATTAAAAATCGCCAAAGATGGGGGTGTCAAAACGTGCTCACCCACTCACAATTTTTTTTTTTTTCACTTTTAACTTTTTGTTTTCCTTTTATTTCGGGGCCTAAGAAATTTTATTATATTTTGAAAATTTTTTAATGAGTTATTGATTATGTGAACTACATATCTGTAAATTTTCAGGGCATTTGTCAATGCCAAACAATAACAAAACATCGACAAAGATGGCGGTGTCGAAAAGGTGCTGGTACACTCACTCATTTTAATTCTCTTTTTATTTTTTCTTATTTTTATCATAGTGTTTATTTTTGGTATTTGATTTTTAATTCAAATTTGGTAGAGAATTTGGATGTAGTGCCCAGAGAAATGTTGTTTAGTTTATTTTTCTCCATAACATGCGTTGTTTTGGGAATATTGTGAAAACTTTGTGGGTTTTTTTTTTTTTTTTTTTTTGGTCCGCGGTCGGTCCGAACGGCCGAACGCCTTTCCAAGGGGTCCTGTACGTTCGGGCGTTCGGCCCGTCCCGAACGCCGGCAACCCTGTATATATATATATTGATTCAATAGAATGAAACTTTGTACTTTAGCTCAATGTTATTATAAAAAATCAATTTACTCAATCAATATTACTAATATAAACTTAAGCATTTATAGAAGGTGTATTTGACGATATATATTTAATATATATATATATATAGGTTTGTGGGGTTTGGAAAACCCTACAATCCTATGTTTTTTATTTTGGAATCTGACTTCGTTTAAGATTAAAAAAAAATGAAAAACAAAAATCGATTTAAAAAAAAAAAAAAAAAATACGGCATAATACGCAGAAGAGTGAAGGTCAGGGTGTTTAAGTAAACTCAATATACTATCATGTTGTCCGGATTTAGCAAATCGAAATGTAAAGGCTGTTTCGGGAAAGAATTTGTGGTACGGCCCAATTATGGTAGCTTACACTGGCGCATGATGCATTGTCATGTGCAGAAAGGAGGAGCATAGAAGAAGTACGAAGATGCAAAGAGGGATGGACGATCCACTTAGCGACGGATAAGTTGTCGGAGAAGGAGGAGGCCGCGGTACAACGTTTGCGAGATTCAGTGCAAGCGGAGGATCGATCGGTCTGGACATCCACGTACAACGGGGCAACAAAAGAAGAACTAGTTCTAACCGGGAATGATTTGAGCTTGATATTGCATCAAGGCAAATGGTTGAACAA